ATGTCGAAATTAAATTCATTTAGTTTAATCCTCCACCTTTGTAGTTTTGAGTTAGGTTCTTTTAATGAATTCAATCATACTAAAGGTCTGTAATCCGTTTTTATTGTAAATCTGACAACATAAAGGTAGGGTTTAAAATATTTTGTAGACCATATAATTGCTAACAGCTCTTTTTCTATAGTACTGCAGCGTGTTTCATGGTCATTTAATGTTCTACTGGCAAATGAAATCGGATGGCCGTTTTGCGATAAAACAGCCCCAATAGCGAAGTCACTTGCATCGGTAGTCAAGGTAAATTTATAATAAAAATTTGGATATCTTAAAATAGGATCACTTGTAATAATTTCTTTCAATTTTTCAAAATCGGCAATATATTTTGGATTACTTACATCGATTTTATTATCCTTTTTCAAACAGTAAGTTAAAGGTTGCGCAATTTTTGCGTAATCTTTTATAAACTTCCGGTAATACCCGGTTATCCCAAGAAAGCTTTTAATAGATTTTCGAGAGTTTGGAAGTTTAAAGTTTTTTTTAATATAAATTTTTTTTGGATTTGGTCTGATTCCTTTGTCCGTAAGAAAATGTCAAAAATATTCCGATTCTTTAGAGAAAAAGAGACATTTGTCTAACTGAATTTTTAAATCAAATTATCTAAATTTTTCAAAAATTTTTATTATAACATTTTGATGCTCCTGAAGTGAGGTACTGAAAATTAGTATATCATCAAGATATACAACGCAGTCATTATTAATGAAGTTGCGTAAAACGTAATTGATCATCCTTTGGAATGTTGCCGGAGCATTCCTTAAACTGAATGGCATCCTGACAAACTCATAATGTCCTTGAGGAGTCGAAAGGGCTGTTTTTTGCTGATCCTTTTCGTCTACAAGGATTTGGTGAAATCCTTTGGCGAGATCAAGTGTTGTGAAGTATTGGGCTTTTCCCAATTTATCGAAAAGTGATTCTATATTTGGAATCGGAAATTTGTCTTCTACAGTTCATTCAACTTCCTATAATCTACGACGATTCTCCATTTTTGCTGTCCCGATTGACCTAGTTTTTTAGGGACCACCCGAATTGGAGAATTATATGGAGAGCTACTATGTTTAATTATCCCCTGTGATAGCATTTCCTTAACCTGATTTTCGACTTCCAGTTCGGTTGTTATTATTTGATGTTTTATGCAATTGATGTTGGTTAAATTTTGGCCTTCTTGGTAAAATAGGTCTTTATTTTCATAAACAATGTTCTTCATTATTGAGATGATCAGTTTTGATATAATCAAGAATGTTGTTATTTTTAAAGTCTAAAGTATATAGTTGGTCAACAACTTCATAAGGACAAGAAAATTTAAATTTTGTTATTTTTCCCGTAATTTCAATAAAGTTTTGTTTTAAATCGATTTTTGCACCAATATTTCTTAGAACATTTTGACTTTTTTTTTAAATTAATTACCCTCCAAAGTATCTGAGCTTTATGATTAAATTCGATTGGAACATCAGTTATTAATGTATAATAAATTTTGCTCTTTCCAAATAAAGTGTCTAGTTCTACAGGCTCTTTTAATTTTGTCTTTGTAATTTCGGGGAATAGTGAATCGTTAATAATAGAGGTTGTAGAGCCTGTGTCAATCAAACAATTAAATTTTTTATCACCAATAGTAAATTCTACTATTGGTAGAGTGTTGTCCGGGGTATTTTGTGATACTAAATTAACATCAACATCCATCGGTTCTGGCTGTTGATTATTTTTATTATTGTTATTAAAATTTATTATTATAATTATTATTATTATAACTATTATTAAAATTATATTATTATAATTGTTATTAAAATTTCTATTAAGGTTAGAAACGTTGCGATTACCGCTATTGTTATTATTATTATTAATATTATTGTTATATCTGTTATTATTGAAATAGTTATTGCCCTGACTATTGTTACGGTTATAAAAATTATGATTATGATTGTTATTATGTGAAAAACTGTTATAGTTATTATTATTACTAAAATTATTATTATTAGTATTATTATTGTTAAAATTCCTATAATTTCTGTTATTTCTATTAAATGAATTTTGATTTCTATTGGAATATTTATTATTTAAATTTGAGTTATTTGAAATACCGGTTTGTAATAATTCATAATAAGCTTCTTCTAAGCTTGAAACGTTTTTAATACTCAAATACATATTATCACAACGAGAAATTTTGTTTAAAAATTTTTCTAAAATACTACTTTCATTATTACTAGGTTTAAACTCTGAACGAGAATTTGAATCTAAGTTGTTTTTTAAATTAAGTTTATCTAAAATAATTGATTGTTCTGAATAAAATTGAGTTACATTTACAAATTTTATTTGGTCAGCTTGTTCTTTTAGTTTTAAATAGGATTCTTGGACTCCAAATGTTTTCTTCAGTTGAGTTTTTACTTCATCCCACGTTGAATTTTCCAGTCTCCTTAGGCTGACAGCGGCAGGTCCTTGTATTTTTGACAAAAAGATGTTGAATAAATAGGACTTTAAAGCCACATCGGGTGTTAATCCTATAATTGTGTCAGCTTCCTTGAAAAACGCCGATAATTCAAAGGTTCCGTCACACTTGAATATAGGAATAGACCTAATTTCTGTTATCAGTTTTTTTAGCAGAAATTGAGTTAAGACTAAGTGCCATGTTTGTATTTATCAATTTAATTTTTTCAAATTTTCGTAATTTAAGCACTTATTTAGATTTTTCCGTTTTTGTGTAAAAATTTTATACGATTGTTTCACTTTTTACTTTATTATATTTTTTTTTCTTTTTGTGTTCTTTCTTTTTCTAAACAAAAGTTTGATATGGCTTTTAAAGTTTTATTAATCACTCACTTTTGTTTATTTTATTATATATTGAAAACAAAAAAAAATTTTTGTTGTTCTTTAATCGCCAAAAATTTTTTAAAAAAACACTAAAGTCACTACAATTGTTTTTAGTTATAATAATTGCAAGACATTAGCTGGCGATTCTAACGACTGGGCCAGTTTAATTTTGTTCGTTAATCAGTATTGTTTATTTTATGTTTATTATTGATATTATTATTTTCCGTAATAATTTTAATAAAACACAATATTTATTTTATTTAACTTTTAATTTCAATAATATGTAATAAAAAAGAAAGAAATTTAACAAAAAAAATATTCTTTATTTTAATTTCTTAAAGTAGATCTTTATTTTCTTATGGCTAGCTTTAAACTAAAAAATTTACTTTTAGAAAAATAATTCCTAATCTGATAGTTTCACATAGAGTAGTAGTATTTCATAAGAAAAGGATAAAAAAACAAAAAAAGGTTCTAATATCGTCTGGCTGTTTTTAAGTGGTGTCGAAATTAGTCTTTCGCATTTAAAAACGAAAATTTATAAAAAAATCTGATGTGGTCAGCACATAACCGACCGCATTGTGTATTGTCTAATTAAATGAAAGTGTTACAGAATATTATAAAAATGTCTGTTAAATACTTCTTTCCAATTTTTAGGACATTAGTAAGCTTATAGTTAACATACTTAGAAAAATGTAAATTTGGCTCTTAGTAGAGTTTCGCTTTGTGCTACCCGAATTCCCTGAAATGCTCGCCAGTTAGTTTCGGTAACAACCAGAACTCAAATATCAAATTTCAAGAAATTCCATCAATTTGTTCTGTGGATATGGTGAAAAATGTAAAATCGGCCCGCAAATCAGTTCTCGAGCCCTGATCTTTCCAAAAAAGTTATATGTTCATTGCTTTAATATGAGAAATTCATATATTAAATTTCAATGAAATCGGTTGATTATTTCTCTTTATATACACAAAAATGTATATTTGGCCCGTAGTAAACGTCTAGTTGCCGATGCCTGATTTCTTCCAAAACATACGAATTTTTGCGGACGATCGAGCTGAGCTTATATATAAAATTTCAAGTAAATCGGTTGAATAATTTCTTTAAAATATTCAAAAATGTAAAACAGGCCCGCTAAAAAGTGCAGTTCCCGAGGCCTGATCAAAATCGGTTCAGCCGAACTTGAGATACACGCGTGCACACACAGACCGACAGACGGACAGACCGACAGACCGACAGATCGACAGGTTGCTAAAAATAGTTTATTTACACTTCCCTACTATGGAGAAGTACGTTTCCACCGAAAACTCGGTATGCAAAATTTGTTGCCATCACATAACCTACCTATTGTTTACACAATACGGTCGGTAAAAATATATTTGTTAAATTTTATCATTGAAATTGAGATTCATGAAAATTATTAAAAAACAATTACATACTTTACTTATTTGGTCAAAACCGTGTGAAATAATTTTAGAGTAAAATGAGAAAAAAATATAATAAAAAAAAAACAAAAATTAAAGTTTTGAATTTTAATTTTTTATGAGAATAAAATTTTTATGAGAATAATATTAATTTTCAGAATCAAAAGAAATCTTTGAATTTGACTCTATGATTTCTGCTAGTGTTTGGTTAGTTGGATATATAACTTGCACGAGTGTATCTTTAGTTCAGCCCAACCGATTTTTATGAAATTTTATATGTGAGTTTATTTTGGCAATGCACGGATTGCTAAACTTTTGCGACATATTAAATTTTGGTAACTGGATCTTTTTGCAGCCCGATTTTACATTTTTGCGGATGTAAATTATCAATTAAATTCCTTCAAATTTAATATTTAAATTTGGGGTGTTAAAACAGTGAATCTATAAATCTTTTGGAAATATAAGTGCTCGGAAACCGAACTGGGGGTTGATTTTACATTTTTAAACTTTCTAATTTAATTTACTGAATATTTAAACTAACAGCTAACTTATTTAAAATTGAAAGTAAGTGTTTACACATAAGATGCACGTTTACAGTGTGCTGACCACATAAGATTTTTTATGTTTCATCCGAACAGTGGGGTTTTCTAAACTTTATTAAAAAAGCTTTTTAGCAAAAATTTATTTCTGTACTACATAAAATTAACTACAAACTTTTTGCTTTGCAGTTCCTTCTTCACATTCATGATTTTCGTTGCAACAATGTCAACATTCTATGATTTGACTAGAGGAATCAACAAAAGTAAGTTATAGTAACAGAACTTTTTTCCTCCGTAAGGTATGAAGCTAAAATATAAAAGACATTTAATAAACTAATTATTATTATTGTTATTATTATTATTATTATTATTATTAATATTATTATTATTATTATTATTATTATTATTATTATTATTATTATTATTATTATTATTATTATTATTATTATTATTATTATTATTATTATTATTATTATTATTATTATTATTATCATTATTATTATTAT